ATTTTGGCCTTCTTGCTGGACTTGATCTTGACAAACTTGGATCCATCAAGGCCTTGCCACCACTGCTGGCTCTGCCCAGAATGTTCTCCTAGATCTGTGCATGGCTTGGTCCTTTCTGTCGTTTGGGCCTTGACTCAAATGTTACCTTCTGGGCCGCTGAGCACTCCATCAGAGAATCTACTATCCCCCTCCAAGTCCCTCCCCTTGTCCAGCCTGACTTGGTTATAGCTGTCTACAGAGAAACTAGTCATTGGTCCACATGTTAATAGTCTCTTCCCCAACTAGATCGTAAGCTCCATTCAACATTAAGTCCCCAGTGTCATGACTGGTGCATCATCCTCAATAAATCTGTGTTAACCCACGACTCTGGTCATGTCCCTTTTCTCAGTGACATCTGAGGAGTGAGCTAACGCAAATAAAGCACTTAGCACAAAGTAATTCTTGTTGAGGATTCTGCAGCTCAGGAGGGAGACCCTACTTCCCAGACTCTTTTGTTTTCCTGAATTAAGGACAAATGCTGGATTTCTGTCAGGCTTCAAACAAACAAACATCAAAAGCAGTTCTGGAATTTCTACTCCATTGTGATGGGGGAGCTCCCAGGTAGGGATCCCAGGTGGCAGCCATGAGCCCAGTCTGACATCACCTCTCCCATGACTCTCAGGGCTGCCAAAGTCCAAGGCCCCAGCTCAGATCCTGATTCTGAGCCCCAGGAGGGTAGGGGTCTGTCTCAGAACTTCCTCGGTTGTTCCAGGACCCAGCACTGAGCTTGGCTCCCGGCAGGTGCTCGGCTCAAGAGAAGGTTGATGCCAAAGCCCCAACATCTTTCCTTGACGTTTTGGTGTCTAATATTGTAGATACTAACCCATCTTTGTATGCTAATGGGACTGATCCTGTAGACATGGAGAAATTGATCATAAGGGGGAGAGGGAATAAAGGATGGGATCTGCTGAATAAGTGGGGGACCAACAGTTGATGGGGTCGGGGACCATCTTCATGGCTTCCATTGTAACCAAATGAATGCAGGGGTGGTGGAGATGGGGGTGGGGAGATGCGGTGTTTCTTGTCGTCTGATACTTCTCTCATGTCAATGACACATGAGGCCACATCACCAGCCCAGAAGCGTGGCAAGGAGAGTATTGCCGTGAAATGACATCCTGGAGCAGAAGGGGAGGCAGCATGGCCGGGGAACAGCAGAGGATTGCCAGGAGCTTCTGACATTGGCGGTATTGCTTGAGAGTGAAACTCATCCGCAAGACGGAGTTTTTCTCCAACCGTGTTGAACTCACATGCAGGTGGGGGGTGAGTGGGTGGCTGGGTTTAGCCAGGGCCGGGGTTTGGCCAATGACCAGAGCAGAAAGAGGCAGAGGTGGGGGCGCTGGGAGGGGGTTGGAAGCCTCCCAGATGTTCGGGGAAGCTTTGGGTTGTGTGCTGTGATGGAGAGCAAATAGGTGGGAAAAAATCTATGCCGATGTGGAAAAAGCCACCACACAACCTGGGGTGAACCCAAGGGCTCCAGGTGTAAGAGCATCCTTGACCCCACCCAAGATGCACACACACACATACACATATGCAAACTCACACAAACACGCTCACACCTTCCCCAGCTTCACTCCAAACACTGTCCCATTTCTGCCTCTGCCCCTTCCTCCTCGGGATCCCACCTCCCCCCACTCCTCCCCATCCCCACTCTGGCTCTACTTACTGGTAGAGGAACAGGCCCTGGTGCTGGCTTGGTCTCCACAGCCTTGACCCTAAACAAGGGAGACCCCCCGTGGGGGAGGGGCTCAGCTCAAGGCTTGCCCTTCTCTCAGCCCCCAGGACAAAGGTCCACCACCCCAGCCTCACCCCCCTGGCCTTTTCGTCTCAGAGGGGCTCCTCGTTCCCTCACATCCCCATGTGGGGCATGGCCCACGTGCAGGCCCACAGGACAAAGAATTCCCGTGTTAGAGCTATCATACAGATGGGAAAGAGAGCCCCAGGGAGCCAGGACCTGCCGCAGGCCCTCTACCGGCTCAGGAGCAGGCAGGACTAGAATTCACCTCCCCTGGAACTCAGCGGCAGAGCAGTCTCGCCGGGGTCAGGGAGTGGGGCGGGGGTGGCATCAGCGGGTGGCTTACCCTTCTTTGGGTGTGTTAGGTCCTGGCGTGGGCGGCGGGAAGGAGCTGTCAGTCTTTTCCTCCGGAGCTGTTGTGGGTATTAGGGGCAGTGCTTCCTGGGAGCTGCCTTTGTCTCCCCCTGGGCCAGGCTCTGGCAGGGCCCCCTGTGGCCTAATGTGTGGGCTGCCTGCCTCCTTGGGGGGCTTGTCTTCCAGGCGCTGTCCACCGCTGTCCAAGGTGCAAGAAGGCTCTGTGGTCAGCATTATATCTGACTCATCTGCTGCCTGGGGACCTGGGGTGGGCTGACACTCCGGGTGCTGCTGAGAACAAGGAGACCAAAATGGGGAGTCCCATCCTGGCTCCCAGGTGAACCTCAGCACCCACTTGGAGACCCCAGTTATCACATGCTTAGTCTGTCCAGGCACTGCGAGCATCTTCTTACTGAGCTCTCCCAGCACCCCAAAAGGTATCACAAGTTGGCTGCCCCGTGCTAAGGGGTGAGGAAACTGAGGCCCAAAGGAGGCACGCGTGGCCCACCCAAGGCCCTAATTCCCGCTTCCCGGTGGAGGTAGAAGGGGAACCCAGAGAAAATGAGATGATCCTCTGTAAACGGGATTTCCCAAGGGATGTTTCCAAGAATAAGAATCCTTCATGGCACACCCTAAAAAGGAGATTCCTTCTACACTGATTTCAAGACTTACTATAAAGCTATTGTGATCAAGACAGTGTGGTGTTGGGAACACAGTTTAGGTTGCTACCTGAATCTGTGTCTCCCGGGCTGCAGCTCCTTTTGCTCAAATAAACGCGTTTTATATTTTAAAAAAAGACAGTATGGTGTTGGAATAAGGGTGGATAGATATGTGAATGGAACCCAATAGAGAGCCCAGAAATAGACTCATACTATGTGGTCCACTGATTTTCGACAAAGGTGAAAATTCAGCAGAGAAAGGATAGTCTTCAGCAAATGATGCTGCAGACTCATGCCACTTACAGAAACCAACTCAATATGGATCAGAATCCTAAATGTTAAACCTAAAACTATAAAACTTACTGAAGAAAACACAGGAGAAAATCCTATGTGACCTTGGGTTAAACAAAGATTTCTAAGAAATAACACCAAAAACACCAAGCCATAAAGAAAAAATGGATAAATTAGACTTCACCAAAATTAAGAACTTCTGTTTTTCAAAAGTCACTGTTAAGAGAATGGAAAAGACAGCTCACAGATTGGGAGAAAACATTTGCAAATTACATATATGATAAAGCACTTGTATTCAGAATATATAAGAATTCTCAAAGCTCCATAATAAGAATATAAGTAACCCAGTTATTTTTTTAAAAGGCAGAAAGTCAAAAGACAATCCATAGAGTGGGAGGAAAAATTCATAAATCATATAGCTCATAAGAGTGTAGTATCCAGAATATATAAAGAACTCTCACAATTCAACAACAAAATGACCAATCCAATTAAAGCGATGGGCAAAGTATCTCAATAAACATTTCTCCAACAAAATGTACAAATGGCCTATAGGCACATGGAAAGATGCTCACCATCATCAGTCATTAGGGAAATGCAAATTAAAACCACAATGAGATTCTCCAACACACCTGTTAGACTGCTTAGAATTAGAGAGATGGGCCATACCAATATTGGGGGGAAATGTGGAGCAACTGGGATTCTCAGACATTGCTAATGGGGATATGGAATGGCACGGCCACTTTGGAGAAAAGTTTGGCAGTTTCTTAATAAGTTAAACATACACATACCATATGATCCATTCTATTTATTTGCCTAAGAGAAATAAAAGCATGTGGTCATATAGACATGAGTGTTTTGTTTGTAACAACCAAAAAGTGGAAACAAACCAAATGACCATCAATAGGTGCAGGGATGAAGAAATTGTTATATAGCCCGGCCGGGCATGGCTCCCCGGTTGAGCATCGACCTAGGATCCAGGCGATCGGGGTTCGATTCCCAGTCAGGGCACATGCCCCGGTTGCGGGCTCGATCCCCAGTGGGGGGCGTGCAGAAGGCAGCAGATCCATGACTCTCTCATCATTGATGTTTCTATCTCTCTCTCTCTCTCTCCCTCTCCCTTCTTCTCTCTGAAATCAATAAAGACATATTTTTTAAAAAAGAAATTGTGATATATCCATACAATGGAATGTTGTTCCACAACAAAAAGAATAAAGTATTGGTCCGCACAATAACACAGGCGAGTCTCCAAATGATCACGCTGAGTGAAAGCAGCCGGACAAAGAGAATAAATACTGAATGCTTCCATTTATGTAAAATGTTAGGAAATACAAACAAGTCTATAGCACCAGGACGCAGATCAGTGGTTGCCTGGGAATGTGAGACGGAGGCGGGTGACAGAGTGGCACAAGGAAATTTGGGGGGTGATGGATATGGTTATTTTCCTGGTTGTGGTGATGGTTTCGCGGGTGTACATACATATGTCCGGAACATCAAATTGTCCACTTAAAGTATGTGCATGTGCATGTCAATTACACCTTACTGAAGCTGTTTAAAAACACAAAACCTTAAACACAAAACAGAAAGGTATTTTGAAGTCAAATAAGTTTGGAAAAGGCGCCGGTAATCTAGCCATCTCTCGCAAGGTCCCTCAAGGCTGAGACACGGCTCCTAGGATATCCTCGTGTAAAGAAGCCTGTTTGAGCTTCGTTAAACCCAGCATGGCCCAATCGTAAGTGTATGCAGAACCCCACCTACCTTCTCCCTGCCCCCAGCACCCACTGACATACCACAGGGCCACCCTGGAAACAAGTCCTAAAGGCTTGCTGTGGACAATCAAGACTCTCCAGAACATCCCAGCGACCCACACAGACTGCATGCTTGACATCTCCAGGGCACAGAGGAGCAGACACAGTGCACCAGAATGGGGGTGAGGGTGGGGGCCCTTCATCCCCCTGTGGGTCAGTCATTCCATGCCTTCCTGCCCGGTTCTCCGCAGACATTACCTGGGACCTCTCGGGGGCCTGGTCCTCCACCGTCTCTGGGTTCTGCTGTGTCCCCTGCAGGTCCTTGGTCTCCTTCCCTGCCCCCTCCTGCTGCAGCCCTTCGGGGGCTGCAGGGACCCTGGAAGGCAGCACCCCCAGCTCACTCCCTGGCTTGGTCTGATCCTGGCCTACTTGCAGCTCCTCGGGCCCTTCCTGGGGGGCGCAAGATGACAGCTTCTTCCTGGGAAAATAAAGGGACACCTCAGCTCCTGGACTGGGCCGTAGTTTTATATTCTTATACTTCTTCGTAGTTCCCAGAGCACAGGCAAGGACCAGGCACACCGTAGGTGCATACTCAATGCCTGGGAGAATGTTTGAAGGGCTGACATGAACTCCCTAAATCATAAACACTTTAATGTCAATGTTTAGGGGAGTTGGGACTTAATATTCTTCTCGTTATTTTTAAGAAAAATCAGATAGAACTGGAATTCAGAGAGGTTGAGAAACTTGAGCCTAGAGTCACAGAGCTCAAGTTGACAGCTCAGGATTTGAGTCTGTCTATGGATGTCCTCCAGGCTTCTTCCTATGGATATACATGCATATTTGTAATGAGGATTTATTTAATTACCCTCTTCAAGTTACTGCATAATTATACATAGTTAAAATTATATGGCATCTACAGTTTTCAGTCTTTTTTCATTGAACATTACAGCCTAAATTTTTCCCATGACAAAAATATTTCATAAACATGCTTTTTAAGGAAAGCATAGAATTCAGTGTTTTATAGATAATCATAATTTACTTAACTCTTCCTCTATTTGGATATTTAGGGCGCATGGACATTTCTAATCTATTTGTGTTTAAAATGATATGATAGTAAAAATTTTTCTGCATAAAGCTTTGCCTGAATCTTCAATGGTTTCCTTAGGGCATATTTCTGGAAATGGATGAACGTAAAGGCGGTTCTAAGTCAGTTGAAACAGATTGCCAAGTTATTTAAGCAGATGTGTTGAAATGGTTCATATTTCCGCCAGCCTGGTATGCAGCACGTGTCCTGGGGGACTCAAACCTGGCTTTGATGAAGTCCCCCAACTTTTCATGGAAAAGAGATTGTTTAGAGGTTTTGGTTACAATTGAATTTAAGCAGCTAACCAGGCTTCACTGTTCCTGCTTCCCAAGTCTTTCACTTTACCTTTCTCTGGCTCCCTCTTGACTTTCTCTTTTTAAAAGGAATGCGTTCTTACTGCAGACAAGTTTAAAATAGATATACAATGTTTAGAAAATAATAACAATAATTCCATGTAAACAGGTGTTTCCATGTCTCCCTGCCTCTCTTTTGTTCTTTCTTCTATTAATTCAGTGAATACATATTTATCGAGCATCTACTATGCACCAAGCACAGCCTCAGGTATGAGGAATTTGACACATAACAGAAGCTTGTGGTCCAGTGGGGGAGCTCAGACAAAGGCAAACACAAATAATTATTTAGTGCGATTTGTGCGAGGAATGAGAAGTTCAGGGGCTGTGACTGGGAGGGTCCGCCTTGGTCCGGGAGTCCTCCCTCCTCTCTCTCCTCGTTCCAGGTAGATCACAAGGGATTCTCTCTTGGACCTGCTCTCTGGGAAGCCCCCAGCTCACCCTGCATCTTCCAGATGACTCTGCTCCTGGGTCCTGAGATCCGGAGGCCCCTCCTCAGATGCTTCTCCGTGTCCAGGCCTCTTCTCTGGCCCTTCTGGGGCTGATGAGGGCTCCTTCCCACTGCTTATCCCTGTAGCATCTGGAAACATGACCTGGAACAAAGATGCCCTTGGTGCCAGCTCAAGGGCTGGCCGTGAGTACCCATCTGGAGGGATACCCCCCCGCTCCCTGGGCATCACCCTGGCCTCAGGGACAGGGAGATTCTGTGCCTACCTAGGGAGTGTGCTGGAGAGAGGCAGGGAGGAGGCAAGGGGCGAGGAGAGAGAGGCCGGGGTGCAGAGCCAGCCCAGCTGAGAGCTTGTCGGTCAGCACTCACAGCTCTGGCATAAACCTGGGGTCCAGAGTAGTACCTGAACCAGGGTCTCCTGCTGAAGACAGCTTGACAGAGCACCCTGGGGGACTTGAAGACCCTCACGAGGTCCAAGAGAGGCCTCCCCGATTTCCACTGTTTCAAGCTCAGGCTCTGAAACTGGGTTGAGATGCCCATCTTGGTCTATCGCTCCCAGCTGGGTGACCTTGAGCCAGTGACTTAGAGCCGGCTCCACGCCTCACCTGAATCAGCCAAGTCCAGACAGCCTGGCTCAATCATTTGATGATAACTGATATGATGGAAGATTCTGATGTGCGCCAACGCTAATGGCACCTACCCGGAGGCAGGGCCTGTGCCGGGTACCCCAGGGATTTCACCCAGTTGGTCCTGACCACGACACACATAAACAGTGAGGCTCAAAGGGGCGCAGTGACATGCCCAAGGCTACGGCTGGCTGAGCTGCGGGACTGGACCCCATGACTATGCTGTTGAAAAAAGGAATGGGCCCGGCCGGGCGCGGCTCAGCGGTTGAGCGTCGACCTAGGATCCAGGGGATCGCGGTTCAATTCCCGGTCAGGGCACATGCCCGGGTTGCGAGCTCGATCCCCAGCAGGGGGCGTGCAAGAGGCAGCCGATCAATGACTCTCTCTCATCACTGATGTTTCTATCCCTCTCTCTTCCCCACCCCTCCTCTCTCTGAAGTCAATAAAGATATATTTTAAAAAGAACAAAGGAATGGGTGGGTGAAGGATTCCCTGAATGTTTGCCCGTCTCCCGTCAAGGCCTCCCTTCAGGCTCTCTCCCTGCCCCCGTGATGTCTATCAGAGGCTACAGAGAGAGGGCGATACTTAACCCAAGGCAATGTTGACCTTTTTTATGGTGACATTTTGGGCTCTGGGGAAACTAGATAGGGGGGACAGTCTTCTCCATGCTCGCAGTTCATGCTGTTTGACACTTTAAAGAAATTGATGGAAAGAGGCCGTGAAGTGCATTGAAAGCTTAGGGCAGGCTGGGGGCTGGGGAGGGGCATGGATGGAAGCCTCGAGCAGCTGTCGGGAATAAAGGTTATAAGGGGAGCTGAAGGTCATGGAAGGCACCTAGTACAATAACTAGGCAATTCTTGTTTTGCTCCTGCGCCATCTCTCTGGTAACAGAAGCCAGCATTCTTTTTACGGGAACCTTGCCTTCTCTGTTCTGCCAATGGGGCTCAGGGGTGCCAACTGAGTACCACCTCTGGCTTCATTATACCAAGAGATCCAGGCCACTCTGCCTTGCCATGGTGACTGATTCACAGATAAGCATGTGGACATAATCTGGGCCAATGACAGTGATACCAGACTTTCTTCAACTATTGCAAAGAGGCTCTCTTCCTGCTGGGGATGCTAAGTCAGAAGATGTGAGCTAGGAGGAAAATAGCCTGGAGTGGCCAGGGCAATCCTTGCCACCTTACAGGGACAGCCTGCCTGGGAATGGCACCGAGGAAGGCAGGGCCAAAGACACTCATTTAGCACCTTGATCCAGCCATACCTGAAGTCTACTGGTAGATGAGTCTGCCACCCAAGCTGATGTGTTCTCCTTCCTGCCTACTCCAGTCTGAATTGGGTTTTATCTCACTTACAGCTGAGTCTTAATTAAACCAGTTGGGGAGGCAGCCTGGGCAGGGGAGGGGAAAGTGTCCTTGGGAGTAGAGAGGTTAGAACATCAGGTGCAGGTCCTTACCTGGTTGACTTCTGATATGGCAGGCTCAACACCAACACTCTTTCTGGCAGTCCTCAGGCCAGGACTTGGCTGGGCCCCTGAAGACTTGATCCTATCCTCCGAGTATACCTGGGTGTTTCTGTTGTCCATTGTGCCAAGGCCAACGAGGGTACCACAGGGGAAATCCAATCAAAGTTCTAACAAGCCCATTACCTAACCACCTCTCCAGCCGGCCACGTGGAGCCTGTAATGTAGGGGCCCTGGCTCAGGGGAAGAGGCAGGGCCTGGCACAGGAGGGGCGCACAGCAAGACCAGAGAGCCAACCACACGCAATTTACCCACATGTTTCCTAATTCTCACAATGACTCTAAGGAAAAGGAGTTCTAGGAAGCCAAGTGACTTGACCAAGGTCCAATGCTGACTAGGTCACAGAGCGGTGATTGGAACCATGGCCTGTTGGATCCCCCAAATCATGCACTTTCCCCTACAGCAGCATTTCCTAATGGTGCTCTTTGAAATACGAGTTGCACGAGGTGAATTACAGGAAAAAGGTTCTTGTAGGCCAAATGTGTTTGGAACGTGCTGAGTTAAAATTGGGTGAGCTCTGTCCTGCAGGAGTTCTCAGAGCCTTTAATATACCGGCATGCATTTTCAGGAGAGCCCAAGAGCATCACAGTTGCTGCTGCTATAGGTTGAAAACTCAAGTAGTTCTTGGGGCTAAGGAACAGAAGTCGGGGACATCTGTCTATGGAGGACCCTAAGGTTTCCAATGACAATATGTAGTTCATCAAAGCACCCCCACTCTGCCCTGGACACATCCCTTTCTAAAGCCTTCCTGAGTGTCTCTCCTGCCTCTCTCATCTACCTTCACTTTCTTTCCTACCGCCATCCCCCACACAGACATTCTGCTTTCATCTGGGCGGCCTCCCGAAATCCTAATGCCGCAGACGCCCCGCCTCTGGGCCGCCTCTGGGCCGCCTCCCCCTCCTGGGTCTCTCCAACACCGCCCACCCATCCTTCAAGCTCCCACCTCCTTTCCAAGCTTCCAGCCACCTCGGCCTCCAACCCTCTCTCCAGCCTCTGAATTCCTTCGAGGCCACATCACCACCATTTCTACGGGTACATCACGGGCCCCCTTTCATGGTTAACTAGTTTCTCGGGATAAGTCCTACCCCTCAGTGAGACCGTGTGACCTGGAAGCTCTTGCTGGGATTCTTCCAGAGCCGCCTTCTAGTTGCTGGGCACGTTTGCAAATGGGATTCTCCTAAGCACCCTGTGAGGTCAGTGGGTTTGGCCCTGTGTTAAAGACAAGGAAACCCAGGCTCAGAGTAGCCCGGTGTCTTGCCCAATGCCACATGCCGGCCTGCAGAGGAACTGGGTTCAAACGCAGGCCCCTGACACTCCCAAGACTTTATCCACCATGTTATCTTGTCTCAAAAGCAGCTTATGAGCATGCAGTCAACAGTTGTTTAACGGACACGAGCCCACGCCGGGCACAGTGTCAGGCCTTGGGGACACACTAGGTGGTCTGGTGGCTCGCACATTTTACCAGGGGCTCAGAGAAAGAGCCCCTAACAGCTGCTGTCTAAAATCCCCCCCTCCCTCCTCCTTTCCTCCCAACCTTGTCTGCCCTCCAGTCCTTCCTGCAATTAGGCTTGCACCCCCACAATGCAAGCACAACCTCTGCTCCCAGGTTACCCCGCACCCCAGGTGGCAGCTCCGGGGTCCCAAAGGCCCTAGGTGCTCACTTGGCATGAAGAAGTCAGCACTGTGACCAAGTCCCTGTCTCTTTCCTTGGAGCTCCTCTGTTCTCCCTGCCTCTCTCCCATTAGGGTTCCCTAAGCCCTCCCGCCCCAGGGGGGTGGATGACCCATCTGGGGGGAACCTCCCTGCCCAGACCCCTCAAACACGCCCCCCATTGTTCATTCTCTCCACCTCAGAAAGCACAGCCTCACTCTCGGAATCCTCAGGCCCCAATATTCCACCAGCTGAAGTTTTAAGTGGGCAGAGGCTCCAGAGGGCACCCAGCCCCCCGATGTCCCCATCGGGAGCTCACAAACTGAGACTGTGGGCAAGGAGAAGCCCCAGGGATAGCAGAATGACATGGAACCTGAGGGCAGAGTTTGGGGGGGGGGGCAAATATAGACTGTGCTCCATTCGGAGAACCTGGCGCCCTTTCTCTCACAGCTACACTGAGATTTAATTCACATACAACTCACTCATGTAACGCGTGCAGTTCAATGGCTTTTAGTGTATCCACAGAACTGTGCAGTCCTCACCCTGAGAACATTTGTATCACCCTAAAAAGAAAGCCTACACCCTTTAGCCAACACCTCAACCGACCCTCACCCCCCACCCCCACCACAATAATTCTAGTAGCCGTCTGTCACCATAAGAAATTATTACAATACCACTGACTGTTTTCCCTGTGCTGTACATTACATCCATATGCCTTGAAAAAAATACCTGCAGCTTAGTACGTCTTCTTCCCCTTCACCCCTTTCACCCATTCCCCCCC